GTAAAAACAGTAACAGTCTGATAGTACAGCTCTGAATTCAGCCTCTTCCTTTGGCATTGGCTGCTGTATATCTTAGGAACCACTAGATGGCACCGATAAATTAATACAAGAACAGACAACTCACAGCGAGAACCTATGGCATAAATACACTGATATGATGAGAACTGAGCTAGTAAAAGGTGAGGAACATAGGCTTACTGTGGCAAACTAGGCCATAATCAGAAACCAAAGGAAACAGGAACTGAATGCAGGAAATATATAACATATAAATAATGAGTCCAAAGAACAGAAAAAAAAGTGACTTTTATTGTGTACCACCACCAACATCACTAGTGCATTCAGCATGGAGAATTTAATGCATTTGAATTAGTGAGGATAATCATATTTACCCAAAAACAAAAACATAACTGAATAATCCCCTGTATGACACTCACAGCAAGAACATCCCTGATCTCACACACTCTCAGAAAAAAAGGCACAAAAGCTGTCATTGGCTTGGTATCTTTTCAAAAGTTACACCTTTGTACCTTTCAGGTACTAACATGTACCTACTGTAAATAAGGTGCCAATACGGACCCTTTAGGTTTTTTCTGAGAGTGTGTGAGACCAGGGATGTTCTTGCCGTGACAGCCTCAGCCTCAGATATCATGCCCACACTGCATTCACTTTGTGCTTAGGCAAAGGTCTGAGTATACAAAACTAGCCGTGAGGTGACTTGTGCTGCCCTCTGAGCCACTTTAGCTATGTATTTTAGCTCAGTATATGAATACAATTTTTATTTAGGTGTTTGTTTCTGCCATGCATTTGAGAAATGACAAAAATGTGCTTTTATTGCACACTGTCTGTGAACTTACATTGTATTAATACATTAAATGTTGCTGTATAAACTAATGAAATGTATGTTGTTTAACTGAATCTTTAACTATTTTACAAAAATGTATATCATACACTCAAGATCTACACAGCGCCTCGGAGCAGAGTATAACATTAATGTGTTCCACTTGAATGTGTGGCTCTTCAGAAGCTCAGTTTCAGTTTTTTTTAAACCTGCTGTGGTTTAGAAGCATGTGGCTTGCGGTATCGGTTGATGGTAGCAAAAGAACAGCGTTTCAAAACCTTCACTAGCCTCCACCCTGAACTGTGCCAAGTGTCACAGGCTGGTGCAGGCAAAGGAGCCATTTCAGTTGCGGACAAAAAAAAACACAACACAAACCAACCAACACACTAATGATAATGGACCAAGAACTGAACAAAACGTGGTATTAATACACAGGAACTAATCTTTAAGCAGGTGAACAGAAAAGAAACCAGATCAGAAACTATGGAGACAAATGACAAGGGGACTAATAAATGGAATGAACTGAACTCTCAGACCACAGACAAGAGTGAGAAAGGTCAAATAAATAATTGAAAGTGATATAGCACTTTAAAGGTGCAACTTATGTGAAAAAGTAAAAAATAAAAACAGTATAACACTTAATAGAAGGTAGATGAGCATGTTCAACCAACACGTGCATGAGTAGTGCATTTGATGGGTGGTGATCAAATCTTGTGGGGAAGAATTCACACGCAACACTATTAATATCACAGTCAACACTCTCATGTTGGTTCACATATTTCAAGCACTATTATTTGACAATGGTTCACCTGTTTATTTTGCTCTGCTTGTGGCATCTGTTTGGTAAGTTATGATCGTGCTCTTAATGTAAACCATTCACTCACCATTTAAGTTGTTTTGCTTACATTTCAATTTTCTAATAGAGAATTCAGAGGGGCATGTGAATGGGTGGTTTCATGCTTCCCACTAGTTAACACAGCACTCTTGAAAACCATCTGCTCTGCAGGATCAATATTAAATGGCTGTGTTCATTTAGGTTGTGCTTGGCTTGGCATGTTTGGCGTCCCATAACCAGGCACTAAAGGGGCCGAATGAGGGACTGTATTAATATGAATAGTCTTCTGTTGTTCTGTTTGATCTTAATGTCTCATTTTGAACCAGCTATTTTATGTAAACAAAGTTATTAACCCTTAAACTGTGACAAACTGTATGTTTTCTAGGTGCCTTTGGTGTTGATGCGGATGGAATGAAATTAGTGTCGGTGATGGAGGGAGATTCAGTCACTCTAAACTCTGGTCTTACTGAAATGATGGATGATGATGTGATTCGGTGGAGGTTTGGAGCTGAAAACACTTTAATAGTTCGAATGAACATAATGGATGGCAGCATGACGGTATATGATGATGTTCTTGATGAGAGATTCAGAGACAGACTGAAGGTGGATCATCAAACTGGATCTCTGACCATCACAAACATCACAACTCAACATGCTGGAGATTATAAACTACAGTCCAACAGTGCACGTGAGAGATTCAGTCTCAATGTCCAAGGTGAGTTATAAGTTTCACATTCACATTTACTACACCTTTAAAGGTTCTGGATTTGAACATTTCAATTATTTTCATCTTCAATCATTAAAATGACAAAATTATTTCAACATTTAAGCAAATGTAGAAAGAGAGTGACCATGTTACGGAAGTTATCATACCTGTTGGCTTGGATCGCATTCACGCACAACGCACAATTTCTAGTTCTAATTTATACAATGCCCACAGTTTTTTTTTATATACCTTGAGTGATGGTGATAAGCCATTGGTGCTTCTCAATACTGAAATCAATGCATTTCTCATTTCCTTTGTCTCCCATCCTCCACCTGAATCAGGTGTGTTTGATTAAATAGACATGCAAAATGTGCAAAACTGTGTTGGGCCTCTAAGAACCCGCACCACTGATTTAGACAATCGCTCAGTTGTTCAAGGCTTTCAGTAGCCTATCAGTATAAGTATTGACCTCATCATTGTGTGTCATAATAAACACTTTATTCTGATTTATTCTGAATATACTTTATACTGTAGACATGTAGAACATGTCTGTAATGTGTGAAACTTTTAGGAATCTTATCCGAGTTGTAGGCTAGTCAATATTGGTCAGTCAGTCGTATCTGACATAAAGGATCAGCGAATTAAACTGTGACCACAAACACCATTAACTTATGTGAATTATATGGCAATAATCAGCAATATGCTTTCACACAAATAACTTTATTTTTTGAATGTTTCAATATGTGTTGACACAAATTACTTATTTGAAATTTTCATTGATATAACATTGCATTGAGTTGTTAGAAAATAAATGCGTAGAGACGGTATTGCTTGATGACGTCAGGAACCGATTAATCGGCTTTTTGAACCGGTTCAATGAGCCGATCTGTCTGAAAAGAACCAGTTCAATGAGCCGATCTGTCCGAAAAGAACCGGTTCGCGGAAATGAATCGGCCTTTGCATCACTAATAGATGCTAAATACCTGGTGCTCACATGTGGTTTGAGGTAGGCCTATTGAAAGCAGCAATAGTAGTATTGGGTTGTATTCTATATATTTGTGTAATAACTTGAGGAGGCATGAGATCTGTTCAAGATTGCATTTACTTAGCAGAATGCATCCACAAGCAGTACACTCAATCACAGGTGGAGTCAATTTGCACACAGACACACTAACTTCTTCTCTGCTGCTTTTTAAGCAAATGCCAATATCATTAGCCTGCCCTCTACAGGTCATCACAACAACTGACACTTCATTGTCACTCTACAACAATTTGGGAATGGAATTACCTCAAAATACTGTTCTGTTATATTGTTTTATATTTGGGTCAGGAATTATCCTGAGGTACTGTAGTAGTAGCCTATATTGGTACTGTAGTGTTGTATTATATTTTATTGACAACTGGAGGTTGGCCAAACTAAATAATCAATTTACACTTCAAATTATGTTGCATGTGGTATGTTCATCTGTTTTTTTTTTCTAATAAGTTTGCTTTTAGGTAGTTATTTGATGCTACAGAATGGGGTGTGGTGTCATGATTGTGAGCTTGTGATTGGGTCTGCAGGAGTTTGGGCGGGACTTTGATACCGCGGCTCCACTTCACGATCACTAGCCTACTACTCTCAGCTTCCAAATAACATCACTTTCACAAGAGGACGGCGGCCATACTGCCATGTTTTGACTTCAGTTTTCTATAGTGGAAGGAAGTGGAGACTCATCAATCTTTTTTTTACAGTCTATGTGTCAACCTCATGAAGTCCAGAGTCTGTGTTTCTAATGTTCATGATGGTCAGAGATCCAGTCTGATTGTCCAGCTTCAGTCTGGCTCTGAATCTCTCATCAGCACCATCATAAACACAACTCCAGTTTCTCTCTATTGATACAGTATTACATCATATCTCTGTGTAACAGTAACGTCAGTGTTTGGAGTAAAAGAATATCCCTCTATCACTGACACTGACAGTGACACTGCTTCAGCAGACACTGGAGAAGAAACAGAAACCGTTGCTAAGACTTGCACTGCAACTGTTCAGACCTTCACTGCTTAAACAGATTGAATGGACAACATCCACAAAAGAATATGTGACCGTCTGTGAAATCCAGGCTAAAGTCTCAAAATCTAATTATGAGATAACAAGCATCAAAGTTTGATTTCAACCATTAATCTCACTAGGATTTAAATCGTTGACATGGCCTTACTCAGTCAGTATTAAAGATATCAAGGTTACATTTTCACAGAATGTTCTTTACATTATGAAAGACGATTTTATGTAAAATAGTAAATCACAACAACAACAAAAAGACTTTAGCTGGGTTTTCACAGGCAGAGTCACATATGTTCATAAAATCAAGCGAGTTACGCGTGACAGCATCTGAGTTCAGTCAATTCACATCTACATTTATATTTATTCATTTAAATATTTATTAATTATTTTTTCAAACGTGACATACAAACAAGGAAACCAACAAAGTGAATTGTTTTAATAACATACTGTCTAGTAAACCGCAACCTAAAAGGAATATTTAATAAGTAGTGAATAACAGCTTTTGTCAAAACAAAGTCTCTCCAAGCTGCCAATTATTTACTGACTGTCTTTGGGCGAGTTTTAGAGAGGAAGTGTTGAACACATGGGGCATGGTCTACTTCAGTCTTCAGTCTGGAGGAAGTTAGCAGATAGTTCACATTGTTAACAGCTTGTTCTCTACACAACTTTACTGCAAGATTTCAAATTTGACTGAAACTATTTCAGACTGAAGATGAAAATGTTTCACACATTGGCTTTTTGCTGTTTGTGCTGTTGCCGCCTGGTTGGTAAGTTACAAAAAAGTATTTTTTTTTTTTTACAGTTGCATGTTATTACTGTGGAGCTGTAATGAATTCAATTCCACTATCAATAAATAAATAATGCAGCCTGTACAAATATTAGAGATTGTAAAATAATAATAATAACGTTTATGCTCGCTAGGCTGTTTCCTTGATTTTAGTTATGATGTCATTATGTTGCTGCATTGCTGATCATGGTTTCAATCATCAATATATCTGCTCTTTCCAGTGCACACGAGAATGTGCAGTAATCTCAGACAACCTAATGCAGATATTTTAATAAATCCATATTAACCTGAGATAATTACAAGGTCTGCCATTTGTCAAATAATCTCTGATGTATTATGCGAGCTACGAAGCACAGACCTCTGGTGTATATACGGGTCTCACACACAGCTGTTAAAAACTAACACTGGAACATACATCCACTAAAAATAACTGCCTCTGCAGATTAAGTCACTGAGCAAAAATGATGAAAAAGGTGAAGCTAGTTTTGAGAAAAGATCGTGCAGCGCATGTTTAACAGTTAAACTCAGCTCACTCAGTGTGATAAAAAATAAAAGTGTCTGAAAAGTTCCCAGTCTTCACCTGATCTGCTGAGTCAACTTTCACGAAGCAACCGAAGACAAACCTCTTCCACAAACACTTGACTCAGCAGCAGCTGATGTCTCCTCAGTTAAAGTTAACCAGTTCATTAATGTACTAGTTTAACTACAAACTAACTATAGTTAGACTGTATTAATTTTGCTGTAGGCTACATGCAATGTGCAGCTGGGGTGAGGATCTATAAAGATGGCAATCTAAAGATGTAACAATAATCCAAGACAAAGGTAAATGCAACCTATCAGCTTTTTTGTAAAAGAAGTAACTAATGAAAGAAACACGGGGCTATAAATACAAGAGACTAGAAAGCAACTTATCTAGACACAGGTGAAGGGGAAATCAAAAGCCATGGAAACCTAACACTATAGAAACTAAAGAAAACAGAGCTAAACAGAAATAGTGAAAACTGAAGCAATAGAACTAAATGAGCCTCAAAATATGAGTCTTTGAATGAACCAAAGCCAGTACACTACACAAAATGAAACTGTGAAATTATATCCAATATTATTTAAGTGGAAATTGTTGCATTATGGGTAATAGCACAAAAATAGCATAGAGTATGCATGCTTGGAGTACGTTAGAATACTTCTTACTTCCTACCGCTCTCTCTTCCGTTGCAGACTCCGCTTTACCACTCATTTACTGCCTCATTTTGAGCGTGTGCATGACAATGTGGCTATTACTGCATGTGGTTAATGTACGTACTATATATGTGTGCATGTATTTAGGCGTGAAGAGTGTGAGTGTGTGTTCTTCTGAATATAGTGTGCGATTGAAAGAACCTCCACAATATAAGAAATAGTAGTACTGTGAAATAAAGTACAGCATCTATAAATGCTACACTCTTAAAAAAGGCTCCAAAATGACGTTTTCGTAGTGATTCCATTGAAGAACCCTCTTTGGTTCCCCAAAAAACCTTTCAGTGAACGGATCTTAAATGAAACATGTTGAACACAATTTAAAAAATCTAAAGAACCTTTTCAGCATTTGAAAGTTTCCACGGATGTTCAAGGTTCTTCATGGAACTATTGATGTCAATAAACAACCTTTATTTTTAAGAGTTTAATGTTAAAGTTACTGCGTGAATGTGAGATGTTAATATCATTTACTATTTGTATGTGAAATATAAGATTGATATCCAGCTGCATATGCATCTCTATATATCCATGATTTACACAGGCCATGCAGATTATTTGTCAATCTGTTAATGTCAGGGACACAATCAAGTGTTTTTTTTTTAAACGAAGGCATTGCAATGTTATTGTACAGCTGTCCATTTTAGGCAACTACAAAGTAAAGTCAGGCTGCAGTTTCCTTTTGTGTGAAATCAGTTCTGTTTGGCATGCAATGGAAGTTGCCAGAGTTTTTTCTTTCTTATTCCTGACATTCATCCGAGGTGAACTGCTTCTTGAAAAAGAACAAATGTAGGGCGGGGCTTAATTCTGTCTAGTGGGAGGTAACTGGATGGTTGTGGTTTGCTATTGGACAATCTCATGTGAGTGACAAGTTGCCCCGCCCTCGTGCCAGTAAACACATCATCAGAGAAGAGATGTAGCTGTTAGAGGGAAGACAAGTTATTTTGA